TGGTTTTAAAAATTTTTCCTAAATGTATATTGGTATTTGTTGGTTGTAACAACCAGCAAACTTATTCGTCCACTTAACTATCGACCAATTTATCTATCTGTTTAACTATTTATCTATCTGTTCATCCATCCGTCCACCTATCTATCTATCTATCTATTTAATTGTCTATCTATTTCATCATCTAACTAACTGACTAACTAACTATCTGTATATTCATCTATATTTCTGTCTCATTAATTTACTTAACGTTATACCCATATGTGTTTTTCTTTTCTGATTAAAAACATTGGGAATGTTAATTTTTTTCTTCTTGCTTCCAGTTGTTTAGGAGAAAAAAATTTTTTATGTACGTATTAAAATGAATCGGCCAAATTAGTGACTAAATTTGAGCGCTGGGGGAGGGGGGGGGGGGAAGGAGAGGAGGAAAAAAGAAAAAAAATTCAAAAAAAATCTTTCGTCCTCCTTTTCTTTTCTTCTTTTTGTTTTGCTCATTATGAATTTGAAATGAAAATTAAAAAAGAAAATAATAAACAGTGTAGATAACTGGTGAAAATGAAAAATTAATTTTTTAAACCTCTAAAGAACACATATAACAATGCCTTTAGAGTTGGTAAAATGTTTAAATAATGAAATGAAAAAAAACTGGAATTTTCCACACAAATACAATGGTACACATCGACATTTTTGCGCAACGAAACTCTTAAAAAATGTTTTATATTCAACAGTTCCTCCTCTCCAAAAACCACTATTACTGCAGCCTTTTTTTCTTCTTCTTCTATAATGACAGAAGAATTTAATCGATGGATATTTAAAGAACGACAAATAATGTCTAATTGTAATCTGAATACAATAAAATTAGTTCGTTGAAGACGTGTTTTGTAAGAAAGAGAAAAAATGATTGCTTAACTACTATTCGGCAAGAATAACTTATAAAAATTTCAGCTTACATAAGCACTAAAAGTACGAAACCTCTTATCAAACAGATGAAAATAAAAAAATTTTTTTTTATTTTAATCAACTAGTGTCAGCCAATTTTATTGCGCCTTTTTTTACCACTGACATTTGGAAGCTTCTATTCCCGATATAAACGTATAAAGCAACAGTACTTTTTTTTTTTTTAAACGAAAGTCACGGTTATTAACTTCATTTTTCTTTGAGTTTTTCAATACTATTGGACAAATTGAACTAACTGCACTATTTTTAGGTTACTGAATCAAATGTAAACCTACATACTTCATATCAGTCATAATTTGAAGTAACTATCGCAAACACTAAAAAGAAGCTGGTACGCCAAAAGTTTGCTTCTGCGAGAGCTCTAAACTGCTTTTAAATCACACTTAAAAGTTCTTCCTTCAATTTTCTGCAAAACTTGAGCATTTGCCTCCAAAAACCGTCCTTTCAAACGTTCAATGCATGTTGAGGTAATCCAGGGAAACTGCCTTCCAAATTAAATGTTCCAAAACTCCACCAGGTCTAGCTAGTCCAGAGCCTACTGGAAATGAAAAGTATCCTGAAACCTGCTTAGCCTTAGGAATTACAAAACCTATTTTATTGAGACGTCCAAATAATCTTTTGGAGATGGTGCTTCGCTCAAAGTCCCACACGACCTTCCTGTTCTATCTCAAGTCATCTTTGGCAAAAACAAAAGCCTTTGCATTCCGCTTCAACAGCTCCTTTAATCATTACAACGAATAAATTATCACGACGATACGAAAGGCGAATGACTTTTGGAACATAATTTCATTCTTCAGCTATCTTTCCAGCCATCGTCTTTTTTTTTCCCACTGCCGATTTACCAAAAAAATTCCTTTTTGCTCGGGAAGCACAATACTCTTCATTTTTGCAGACCTTCTTTCGAGCCTCATTTTATATTTCATTAATACCCCATCTACCGAGTGTTCGATAGGCATTGAAGCTCCACAGTCAACCAATCGAGTTTATCTACTAAACTTACTTCCCTCCCACTCAATCTTCGACATCCTTTTATTCGAGTCTTCCCTTTGATTCATTCTTGCAACATTCTTACAAGTGCCACTACCTTAACTATTAAAAAAAAAAAAAATGTTAGCATGTCCCCTGACTGCCGCATTTTTTCCCTAAATAACTGCTTTACAAGTTAACATTGACCTTTCCCAACAAAAAAGAATAACTGCATATTTCACCTCCACTATAAAGCTCTCGAACAGGAGTTTATAAAGACTGGTTCCTTCTTAAACAGGTGTTTAAGTGAATATCTAAACGTGTCCAGTCTTCCGCCTAAATGTTTGAAAAAATCATCAGTTCAAAAAATATTTCAACAACTCATCTAGCTCCCTTCCTGATAATCAGTTTTTCGAAGATAAAAAACTTCCAGAATAAATCTCAAATAATTTAAACTCCCTTTCTTATTCTCAAAACATGATACCCTCCCAAGAAATATTAATTCTTCTAGAAGAAAAACCTTACCAGTAAAAGAGGGCTCAAACAAAGGTTAATAGTCATCATCGACTTTTGCGAAGTAGGTGGAAAGAAAATTAAACAATAAAGGCTCCACTAGGAAGAATTGGCAGAACTGCCAGCAGTATGCATATTAACGGTAGATTACTTCCATTATTCCTAATGAAAAAAATTATTTTAGTAACAAAAAAAAAATTATGGAGACAGAAATAAATCTGTGATATCGATGTCAGTCATACGGTTCAACAAACGCATTCAATAAAATCACCTTTTTTTTTCTCTTTTTTTAATTCTGTCAGTTCCAAAACTCATTTTAATATCTCACACAACAAAATAACCAAAGGAAAAACAGACAAGCAAATTCTAATGTAACAGCAGCAGTAACGTCGGAGCACATCATATGAAAGGCACATTATTAATCAAAGAAAAAAACAACATTCCTCATCACCAATTAAATGATATGTTGGCAAAAAAATAGTAATAACAGAAAAAAGACACAGCAAAAGCATTCCAATAACATTCAAGGATAAAATGCTTATAGAGAACTCACAAAATTTAAAAATAATTGTTGAAATATGAAAAAATTAATTTCGAATCTATTAACATGCAGAAAATTTTTACCAATTGCTAGGAACTTGTGCAGCGATCAAAATATTGCAGGAAATACAGAACAATTATATATCATTATACACCACTAAAAATACTTAAAAGACACCAGCTTAAAAATGTTATAGCTTCACGCTTTCAACTATGCAACGCTAACAATTGTTACAACAAAATCTTTCCGGGGCAAGGCACGAAAAAATAATAAAGTGCAAAACACAAGCCAGTTTTTTTCAAGTGTTTCTTTTTTTTGTGTTTCCATAATTGAAGTGCACAACTGTAAATATTTCAGACAAAATATAAAATAATTGTCAACTTCTACAAGTATTATTTTTATCTGAACAATTTTAACAGCTAATTCACACATTGAAAATAAAATCTGTTAAGAAACAACAACAGGCATGTACTTTTTGTTTCCGTCGACGACAGAATATGTATTCATCCGATACACGCTTGACCGCTTAAAGACAATAAAAGAACGGCCAAGATCTATCCTATTTACCCGAAAATTTCATCTCCAAGAAACCGCATTCTTCACTGTGGTAATCAATCTGATCTACATTAATCAGCCGCCTACCCGCTGATGGGTCCCAACTATCTTTTGACCACTCTTCAGGTTGCGAACTTCCAATGATTAAAAATACTGCAGCACCAGCAAGTTGAATCGCTGATACCGTTATGAATATAATGCGCCATTCATTTGCACTTCTAAAATAAAAAACAAATGGTTTACTGATGTTCATTAGCTTGATATTATTCTCTGCGTAAGTGAAAAACAGCTCAAACAGCTAAAGAAATGAAAAAAAAAACGAAAACTTTAGCAAAAACAGCTTTATAAACATACCCCGGGTTGTCAAAGAAATAAACCAGAACAGATACAAAAACGAAGGCTACAGCAAGGCCTATTTCTGAATAGGCAATAATATACTGTGTATAGTAACGTCCAACGAAAACAGCACTTCGACAAAACCCGTAAAAAGAAAATACCAACGCAAGTAGTATGATTACGAGGGCAATCGCACTGAAAATCCCCAGTGAACATAAAAGTAAAACAACTTTGTGCGGCAGAAGTAAATGCAAGAGAAGATTTTATTAAAGCATAAAATTTTTCGTGAAAATAGCTTTCTCGAAAGATTTGTACTACAGAAGACAACAAAATAAACAGAAAGCATACCTAGCAGAAGAACCTTGAGGTGAAAGCGCAATAAAGACAAAACCTGCTGCAGAAAGGATAAAGGATACAGTATTGAAGAATCCCACAGAGACACTATCACGGCAAATTTTTGACAAGCGAAGCCAAATTGGATAGAGGAAAGTGAATATCAGCTGAAATCCCGCAAATTACAAAGAAAAGTTAAAAGTTTTAAACGAACTTAAAATCGGCCATTCGTACCATAGGAACAAATGGTAACGAAACATTCCAGGTCGGATACTGAAATTTTAACACGTAGTGATAGTATATCGGCAGATACTGGAAAAGCAAAGCAACAACTAGGAAATAACAGAAGAAAGAAGTCCAAATTGCCCAGACAGAGAGGGAAGAAACAAGCAGTGAAAAAGTATTCTTTTTCAATGAACGATTCTCAAAAGCCTGCAAATAAATAACATCAAAAGTTAAGTCTAAGTACGCAAAATAAAACCTTGTTTGCAACCATCTGGAGTAAGCACTACTGGCTAACAAGACGGAGATTCAGTAACTTTTTCATTCAGTAACTAGTGTTGTACAAGCCTATCAAAATTTGTAACAATTTTCATAATAAGAAAGAACTAAAAAAGCCTGAAAAAGCGCCAAAAATCCAATCTGACTTTGAACATGACTACTTGCTATTTTGTAATAATCACTAGAAAACCTTAATCTTCCCGGTGACAATTTTATTTAATTCCAGCCCGTTGACCCAAGGATGGTACTGTGGCCGATCTCGGTAAAACAGCATCCATAGAAAACCAAGAAATGCAGCTGCCGCGGAATGCAAAAGAAACGGTGCCATAAATTCCTTGTTAATCAACCAAATGCACAAAGGCCAACTGATCATGGGCATTAGCTGGAAAACAGCAGTAAATTAGCAGTCGTAAAATTTACTTTGAAGGCAAAGACTCCACCCTTGACCCACAAAAAAAATAGAAATAAGATAATTTAAATAAACAAGTGAATACTTGAAGATTTTGTAATAGAACAGACCTGAACAAATAAGTGACTCCAAATGATGAAAAAAAATTGCTCCTTTAATGTCGCCCAATTGGCAGTCATAATACCGACTACAGGTAAAACGCTTCCACAACATAACCCTTGCAAAAATCGGATCGCACTACAGACGAAAATACCTGCAAAACAAATTACTACTAAAACAAAAAAAAAACTTCATGACAATGAACTTAAACGCTCACATCCATAAAGTTTCCCCATTAGTGAAAATAGAAAAAAACTCACTTCTCTTCGCCAGTAGAGTAAAACCCAAAGAAATGGTAGCCAATGAACAAATAAATAATGCGACAGCAAACACCTTCTTCACTCCAACAGGCTTCGACAACCATATGGAAATTAAAGTCCCAAAAAACATACCAAAGCCAGGGGCGACCCAAATGAACAAAGGCATTAACTTTTCCATCAAAGAAGCCGCAACCCTGAATAGAAAAAAATCCACTTTTAATAAGATTCAGCAAAATATAGCCGTCTGGTTTACAGAGAGTGAAGAAGTAGAATTAATTCGTTAAAAGGAATATACACTGCAGAAGAAATATTTTTTAAAAAGTTAGGCAAAATTATTTCCTGTTAAAGCAAATCCGTTGGGCAAATAAACATAATAACAGACTTAGATTACAGCTTTAGTGCAAAACCAAATAGACCAGTGTTGAAATAAGAATAGAAGTAAATTCAACTTACTCGGGAAGTTTGTTTTCAACGAGTTCTACTCGATCCCCTGCTGCAGTGTCTCCCTTCGCTCTGTCGTCTAATTTTCCTGAGACTTTCGAGGCATCTTTATCGTCAAAATCAGATATTTTCACAGTCGGATCTGAAATTGAAAAAGTCTTCCTTTTCACAAAATTATCAAGCCCTCCTGTTAAAAATAATTCAACCTTTTGTTCACAAGAACGTTTCAATATTTATGATAATTGAAAATATTCTAAAAACAACTGAAGATAAACATGCTTTTGTGATATGTTAAAAAATGTGTATAGAAATTCTCCAGCTCATCTTCTTATAGTGACAGCTCATACTTAAAATAATTAGTCCAAAAATATAAGAACCCCTGAATAAAAAAAAAAAATAACCTTTTGCTATAACTGGTTCGGAAGAACTCGTAAAAATATCAACTGTTGGAGCCGGATTTACATCTGAGGAAACTGAAGGGCTACAAATAAGTATTATCATTGTAATAACCAAGGCTTGTCACAAAAAAAAGCTAGTAAGGCATAAGCATATCTGACTGTAGCAAAAATAGCCAAAAAATGACACTACTAACCGAGTTAAAATTATCGTTTTAGGTACAGTTGTACTTGAAGAAGTTGTTGAAATTACATGAGTTGTTTCTTCCTCAGGAACTAATGGGTGTCCATCTGTTTCCAGCAAGCTGGTTAATCGTTAATAAAATTATAGCAAAATAAAAAAATTAACTCCTCTATAAATCTACTACAGGTTATAAATTTCTCGAGAACTTCTTTGAAAAAATTTGATAAAAAACTGCTATATTGGAAATGATAAGATAATTTACATCCTCATCTGAAAAAAATTATGCATTCGGAAAAATACCTGAATTATCTAGTGCAAGAAAGCTTTGTTCTAGATCAGTCACATTTTCAACGAATGATTTGTTCGTGCTACCTAAGTCTGTTCCAGATACCACCGGGACAGTAGTACCCAGTGCTTCTTCTTCATTCACTATTTTTCGAGGTTTGCGAAGAGATCCATAAGTAGAATAATTAGAAAAAATATGTGTTCGGCTCTGTGTCGAAAATGCAATATCCTGAAAATACAAATACAGTAACAATAAAATCCAAAAGAAAAAAGTTTATCAGAAACTTGCACTTCCTGGTTAGTCAGTTCTTTATTCAAACTGAGAGCATACTTTTTGCCCCGAAAACTGTTGAAAAATGCAAATTTTAAAATTATTAATAAATTTAAAAGGTATAAATTGAAAAAAAAATATGATGGCATTTTCAAAAACTGATGAAACGAAAAGAAATCAATATTTCTCTCAAACAATCTTTCCCTTCCTATACTGCACCAAACTCTCAATGCTTGTAGCAAAAGTGGGATGACATGTTTCCTTTCAAAACTTTTAAGGCACTGAAACATATCCGTTTTAAAAAAAAATTAAGCATCAAATTAAAGCAAAATAAGCAGCTCTTGCAACAACACTCTTCAAAATAAACATTAACATTAAGGATTAATTCAGCGTTAACTTTAAAATTAATTCAACGCCACAAAAACTGAAAGGATACTCTTCATAGTTATCAGTATTATAATATCCCCAAAGTCCATGACTAAAACTGCAAAGCATTTTTCAGAGCTGGAATGTTCTACCATTTGACTCCACCGCCCAAAATCATTCTAAAATGTCTCACTTTTAATCACCTTACCAGCGCCACAAAAGTTCATGATAATACAGATTAGAAAGTCTTGAACAAGTCGATATCAAATTTTTTACAAATTGAAGCCAGAAAACTGGCTTGCTTTCTGTTAAAAGTGCCAGTAGTCAGGAATACTGGCATAAGTGTACTTTTCATTTCGTCGTAAAATCGATTTGGGGGAAAAACTTCTAAGCTACCATTGTTGTAACTAATACAAGACTACTTCTGAATCATACTACCTCAACTCAGTTTAACTGATGCTGCTGTTTCTTCTAATTGAAGATTTGGAGCCCAAGGTAGAGTTAAGGAGCAAAAACACCGACTGTCAAAGATAAATCGCTGCTTGAGAATTTCAAAATCTCAACAAATGCATCCATTTAGATTTCTCGGCTTTAAAAACTGCCCACCTATTATCCACATTTCATTTGTTATTATTTGCTCTGTCCGGCTCAAGCTAGCAAGCAAACCAAAAATGGGAAAAAAAAATCAAATAAGATAGTTTGAAAACAAAAAACAAGCCTTTAATGCTGATATAAACCCACAGAGCCACAGCTCAAGGAGCGAGTGTAAAAATAATAAGCTAACAAACGAAACTTTCACCAACAAGCAGCCAAACTCAGCCTAGCAATACTGGATTTTAAATCAAGATAAAAAAAACGACAAAGATGTAAAAGCAATTTTTTTCAGACTAGAAGACCAAATATTAAATGCCGGAAGTACACAGCAAGTCGGTAAGATTATCAACATTTATAACTGTTAAAACTCTTTATAGGATGTGCAGTAGGTGCGGATAAAAACTGAAGAAAAAAAATAATAACAAACCATATCACCGATGACGATCACATTGAACAGTGTTAAGTTGGCGAAAAGAATTGTCGAACAGATAACTGTTAACCATAGTATCAAGTGTCGAACATCATTGGAAAAACAGCAACAACACGGTGCCGTATGTGCCATAAGTGGGATCGTTTACCGTCCAAAATGATAGTGCAGCTAATAGAACCAAAAGAATTTACATTAACAATGAAACAAATTATCCTGTAAAGAAAGAAAAATTACTTAGTTTTTTTTTTTTGCTCAAAATATAAGAATGAATATTTCACGCACGCACGAAACGAGCAATTATCCACATCCACCAACAATAATAGCAAAACAAAATTCATTTGAGTAATAAAACAAACCCCGGTAAAACCAAATGATATACGAGACACGAAGGAAAAGTGATCCAAATTGCATTAACCTTTAATTAACTGTATAAGCTGATAGAACAAAAAAAAAAAAAAACTGGAATTCAGTAGCCAACAAAAAAAGATAACAATAGAAATAGGATCCTGAGAATGTGTTGTTCATTCTTTAGCAACAACTATCGTTCATTTTTTCCTCAGCACCAAATCTCACATCGTAAACTGCATAATTTGTAGCACCAACATATTTGACAAGCTACAAACTATTTACCGTCGTCCACATCACCGCTGAACATGGAACGTTGATTTGCAACAGCGAAATCCAATTTATACCATCCATAAACGGTTGTAGCAGCAGCAGCAGCAGCAGCAGCAGAAGGCTACTGCTGCTACTGCTGAAGAGCATTTTGATGCTATAAGGCTGGTTGAATTGACTCGTCAACAGGCGGCCCGCATAAAAGACGCTAATTTAAATGTCAATGTCTTCTTCACTATCCTTCCAATCCGTCTGTTTTTTTTTTTTTTTTCTCAGACTCAAATTTAATCCATTTTAGTGATATTCCATTACAGTAAATAGAAAAAATTTGAACAAATAAAATATGGAAAAATTAACAGCTAAATGATAGCAATATGGTAAGTAGTGAAAAAACAAAAACCAGTTTATTGAACTTTTAGCGAAAAGAAAAATTATTTGAAAACTTTAAGATTCAGATGAACAAAGCAAAAAGTTATCTGTAAAATTTTGAAGAACAAAGTGAGATAAGAACAAAAAAAAAAAAAAAAAACAGAAGCTTCCATATATTCTCATCAACGTTTCACTGAACATCGAATCTGTCAATAAGTCAACGATAATCAAACTATACGCCGTATTCTGTCCAAAAAAACCAATGCTTGCCCTTTCCTATAGCTCATCAAACAACAGATTCTTAGCCTCAGCAAACAACTGTTAAACCCGGAACTCATCAACTTCACATAACTTTTTTTTTTAAAAATATTTTTAAACTAAAAAAAGAAACGGGAACAAAGAGAGAAAGAAAAAATATACACATTACATTGTAGACGAACAATTCATCTTAACCAAAAGTAATTTAGAGATACTTCGAAGTTATTTAAAGTTTATGTGAAAGAAAAAAACTTTTTTATCCTTAAAAACAAAGAAAAAAAACAGTATTAAAGAAGTATTTGAGAGTAAAAAATGTCAAGAGTTTTCGTGACATTTTCACTGCATTGGTGTACAGTTAAAACATAAGGTAATAGAATCTTCTGATGCAGTTTGTAGCTTAATCAGTTACAACAGCAATCAACAGTTCAATTTAAACATTAACACTGCTGTAATCATAAAAAATTTCAGTAAAAGTTCAATGAAATTAATGCATCAAATATTAACAGAATCAACTGCGTTGATGTAAATCAAAGCTAATTTAAAATGTCACTTATATGCACAGTTTCAAAAGCAACCAAAAGAAAAAAAAAAATGGATTTCCTTTCATCAGCTCGAAAAGTTAACTACTAAACAATATGTTATATACAGAATTTTTTATTAATACGTTCTGCTATTTCTATAACTCTTTAAAAACTTCCGTTACATTTTATCTTTGACGTCAACTTAATGAGTAATTCATTCCAATTGCATGATACAAAATTTCTGAAGCATTTTTTTTTT